GTCCCTGTCCCCATGGGAGCGGCTGGGACAGCCGGGTGCCCTGCCACCAGCGGTCCCCCTCGCTCCTGCCCATCTCCCCAGGTCCTGGGATGACTTTCATGCCTGTGCCAGCGAGGTGCTGTCGAGCTGCCCTGAGGAAGCAGCCGCCATCTGGGAATCGCTGCGGCAGGAGTCCCGTAAGATCCAGTTCCAGGGGAACCTGCAGGAGCTGTGCAGCGCCCGGGGACGCCTGGCGAGCACCCATGGCTCACCAGCTGCTGAGACCAACCAGGCTACACTGCGGGGCTCGGCCACCCCCCCGCGCCCCCATCTCCTGGCCCTGCTGGCCCTGCCACTGCTGGTGCCCCGACTCTAGCCCTGCCCACCTGCGGGGTGCCCAGCTGATGTCCTGGGTCAGTCCCTCGGCGCTGGCTGGGCACTGGCACCTGCGGTCCCTGCTGAGCCCATCTCCCCCCCATGCATCCCTCATGGGGCATAGTCCTCTCCTGCAGCCCTTCAGATGGACTTATATTTATATTAAAGACATTTTTACATTTCTCCTGTCTCTCTGCTGTGGGATGCCACTCACATTCTTCCCAAGCTCTGGGTTTGCTCCGGGGATTGGAGGGGAGATGCTCCCTGGACCAGGCCCTGGGGAGGGTCACCGGGGGGCTCTGCAGCTCTGTCCCCATGGTGCATCACCTGCAGCCGTGCCAGGCAGCCCATGGGACCCTGACGGCCCTGGGGAGGGCTGGACTGGGGATTCCTGCTTTTCAGGGCTAGACATAAAGGATATTCCCTTTAGAGATGGGTCAAATGGTTTCTTTATTTTAAAGGGCATCTTAGGAAAACACAGTGCCTGTATTTCTCTTATTTCCTTTTTGGCATCTGGTAGCTTGTCCTCTAATGGGCAACTCCAGCAGCATCAGACAATTTTCTGAAAGAAATCCCATTTTCCATCCCTTTTATTTTGGTCCTGCTATATTCGGTCCTATTAATGGTCATTAAGGAAATTGGGGGTTGCAGGGAAAAGAGGTGGGTTTTTTAGGTGAGGTGATATAGGTAAAAAAACCAGGGAACTGAAGCTCTCATCCAGGTTGGTCCAAGTGGGACTCACTGAAGTTAAGCTAAGATGATGTGCTGGAGTTTAACTTGGTTAAACTTGTGTCAATCAATGGAATGTGCTGTTATTCCCATTCCTGTTGCTGTTATGCCGCTAACTTCAGATTTTTTTTTCTTTTTCTAGCATACTAAAACCCATTGTGGCAAACCAGTTCCCCTAGACACAGGCTGGCGAGGGGACCTCCCTGCTCTCAAGAGAACAGCCATCTCCCCTCGCCAGCCACATAAAGGGACATTAAAATTGCAAATGGGCCACCCCATCTATTGCACAGATCAACAGCTCCTCGCTGGCACAGCCCCAAGGCTCCCAGCAGTGGCAGCAGGTAGATCTGGCCAGCACGTGGGACACCATCCCACTTGGTAAAGTCAACAGGACCCACATCGCCAAAATCCTCTGGCCGACGTGAGTGCCACTACACCACAGACTGCACGAGGCTCAGCTGCAAGCAGAAGTGATGAGAAAAGCAGCTACATGCCATGAGTAGTGAGTTGCTGCAGTGTCTTTTGATTCCCGGGATGACTTCAAGGCTGTCCCAGAAACATCCCCATGGGCGGTCACAGGGCACGGTTGTGGTTTTGGTCTGGGGAAGTGTTTGCACACTGGCCCATGTCTGAAAGCCTTTGGCATGCAAGTGAGAAGCTTAATTATCACTGTCCTCATCGAGCCAGGGAAAAGTATTGCTCGTTTCATTGCAAAACCTCTTCCTGTGAGGTCTGGTCACTTAAACATGTGATCCCTGACCTCTGGGATGTCACCACGGCTGCTCCGGTCACCTGCCAGTATCCGGGGGCCAGGAAATGCTGCCCGAATTGTTGTGCCATGGTGCATCCTGGGGGGCTGAGCAGTTGCTGCCAATCCCTCCGCTTTACAGGGGGACCCCGTATTTATTTCATACTGTTTATTTCATTAACCAGCCTGGAGCTGGCTTGCGGGGAGACACAAAACATCACATGGAGAGGAGTGGGAACAGGCTGCCGGCAGCCTTTGCCAGGGGATGGTGCTGAGCCCAGGGCCGGGTCCCCCTTGGGACACAGGGCAAAACACCATCCTGGCTCTCCCCAGCCAGCAGCTGCCGCTCCTCATGTTTAACGCTGGCACCAGGGGGATAATCCACCAATTCTTTCCTTTCCAGTTCCTGACAATCCTGTGTTTAAGGGTGAATTAGTGCCGGATCCCCTCAGGGTGGCTAAGAGGATAAACATCGGACAGGCACTGGCCATGCACCGTGCAGCGCCTGTCACCTTGCCAGCACCTCTGTGGGGCCGGGAGCAGTGGGCTTGCCACCGCGGGCTGCTCCCCATCCTCCTCCGGCAGGGTAGTGGGAAGTGGCTGGGGAGCTGGAGGGCCACCGAAGTGGTGCTTTGCCAGGCTGTCACTGCAATGGTGACACTGGTGTGCACCAAACTGCTCTGCTTTGATCCAGCCAGGAGCTTGTGGGTGTTTGGGAAGATCCTCAAACACCCACCAAACTGGGTGTTCAATCCTGCATGCAGAAAGACGAGCTGCACATGTTGTATGCCCTGGAAGATGTCACTGCACGTGTCCCACACCCTTGGCTATGTCACTACATGTCCTGCACACCAGCACATGTCACCACATGTGGCCCACCCCCTTGGCTATGCTACCACACATGTCCTGCAGCTGGAAGGTGTCACCATACATGACACCAGAATATGTCACCGCACAGCCTGCAGGCACTGACAGCTCCAGCGAGCTGGGGCTGGGATTTGGGGATGCTGGGCTAGGACAGGTCTGGGGGTCACCGCTGCTTGGTGACACCCCCCCATGGTGCAAGGGTCCACAGCAGAGCACTGCCCTAAACCCACCGTCACTCTGTCACCCCTAGTTCTCCTTCAAGGAGGTGACTGCAAGGCCGGGAGTGGCAGTGTGACAGCAAGGATGGGCATGCCAACCCCCGGGAAAGCTCTCCAGATGCTCCAAAACTGGGACAAGCAGCCAGTGCCCATCCTCCTGTTGGGTTCTAGGGTTTGGGACAATTCTGTGGCCATGTCCCACCGTGGGAAGGGACAATGTCCTTGTTCCTGCCCCTAAAACTGAACAGCTGACTCCCCACGCACTGGCCAGCATCTTAAGGCAACTGCCCAGGCTGAAAACTATAGTCGCTGGACCGGTGGCCCCCAGCACTGGGCACCTCTGAGCACCCGGCGTGCTGTGAAAACCCATCAGTCTGGTTATGAAACTCTGGCGACCTACTTTACACTCCCTGCTTTTGTTCTTAATTCCCAGATATGGCCGCTCTCCAGATTTTGCCCATCAAGGCAAATTAATTGGAGTAGATCCTAATTTGCTCTCTGCTGTTCTTTGGGCAGAAGATTAAATGCTCTGCAGACATTATCTCCCTCTCTCTTTTCTAAAAGACAAACCTGAATTATTAAAAAAAAAAAAGAACAGGGGATAAAGGAAGGCTGAGTTAGGTTGAGTTGGTGTTTCAATTCACTTTTTATAATCGCAGCAGGGGCCCAGAAGGCCCCCGCATCCCCGGGCAGCTGGAACCAGATAGTGACACTATTCTGGGCAGCTGTGTGAGCGGGATGGCACACGCGGCACAGTGACACGAGGGCCAACCTCCCGGCTATGCCGCCTGCTGCCTCCACTACGCGATGGATGAATCCTCCATTCCTTTGCCCAGGGAAATTCCTTCTGATGAAGGTGCTGGCTGGGGAACAACTCCTCGTGTGCAGGGATACACTTGGGTTTCTCCAACAGAATAGGCTGAAGCTGTGCCGGGGCCACCAGTGGAGATGGGACGGCTCTTTGCCCTCCGACAGTTCCCAGTGCCACCGTCCCAATCTAGTGTCCCCATGGAGGAGCACACTCAGGCACCAGCCTTGCTGGGCAGAGCTGCCTCCAGCATCGCTGGAACCCCAGCGTGCCAGGGAGAAAGGGAGTGTTGGGAGCTGTGTGTAGCCTGGAGGACACTATGTCACAGGGCTGGCCACCATCCGAGCTTGTGCACGGATTTCTGCTGAGCCAAATGTCCAACTTTCCATAAGGAAATGCCAAAAGGCAACCTCAGTCCCTGCGAATCCAACACAGTGGGAACAGCTGAGCAGGAGTCACCTCTACTGCTGGGGCTGCGCTCATCCCCCAGCCTGGCACCCCATCTGTGCTCAGCTTTGGGGCTTTTTTTTCTCCAGAGAGGCATATGGAAAGTTGGATTTCTTTTTTAAGCAGCTTTAATTGAGCATCCTCCCCCTCTGACCTCTGCTCAGCCTTGCTGGGACAACCTTGAGCTCTGGCCCAGTATGGCTGCTGAGGCATGGGTTCACCGCCACATGGGTCTGGGATGTGGCTTGGAGGAAATCTAGATTTCCCACTTCACTCTGTGTCCATTCAATGGCAGATGAGGGACCCCATTTTCCTCCTCTTCTGGCTTCCTATGGTGGGCAGAGAAGGAAGCCCTGTGCTGCCCAAATTGCCCCGTGCCCTGGACATGCAGCAATGTCCCAGGCAGCCTGCGGGTGTGGGGGATGCTGGAGGTGGTGTTGGCTGTTTCCATCACTCCGTAGGAAATTACAGCTTGTTGTGCACCAGTGAGACTCCACATTCGGATGGCAGTGCTGCAGGCGGGTGTTGGATGCAAAGGATGCTCCAGAGGTGTCTCATCTGAGCTCCTGCTCCAAGCAGGGTTTACTTTGGTGCTGAAGCAGGCTGCTCAAGGCTGTCTCTGGGGGAGCTGTGCATCTCCAAGGAGGGAGGATTCTCCACCCTTCTGAGTACCCAGCATCTCCCCGGTGGTCCCAGCCTGCCTTTAGCAGCTCTCATAGGAGAAGCTGTGAGGAAGCTGCTGATGGGAGATGCAAAACCCTAAGGGGAACCCATCCTTGCAGAGGGATGGTGGTTCCCAGGAGGCAGCAGCCAGGCTGCGGGGCCACTTCTGCTGCTGCTTCTTCGTAGAGATCCCTGCCTCAATGGGCTGAATCCTTCCCACAGTGCTGGAGGCAGGCTGTGGGTCTTGTGGGAGTAAGAGTTGGCAGGGGATTTGAGGGGGCAAGCAAGGAGGAGCAGGGTGAGGTTCATCCCTTCAGAGAGCAATGTCTTGGAAGGGAGGAGGCAGAACCAGGTGAAAGTCAATCAAGAAACAAGATGACAGCCTGTTGACAGCAGGGCAAGGGGCTGCAGAGCCTCCCCAGCACTTGATGCTTTGCAGCCCGCAGCTGGTACCCCCAGCAGCAAGATGCTTACCCTGGTCGTGAAACATTTCTTGCTGGAGAAATTACTCTAGACTGAAT